AATCCACCAAATATATAAATTTAATTATTGAATGTACTAAAAGAAGGACAAGAACGAGCAGAAGGGATATCTCCTATTAATTACAATTTATTCCACACTTATTCCTCAAAATCCCAAACATATGCATCATTAAGATAATGATTACCATCACATCCTCCAAAAATGAGCATTTTAGTTTAATAAGCACCACATGCTATACCAAACCTTTCAGAAGGACACTAACCAGTAGGTTCAATTTTTTTCCATTAAAGTGTCTTTAGATTAAGAGAATAAAAATCATTCAACCATAATAATCCATCACATCCACCAAACACATACATGTGACCTTTATATTATATTGCCCCATTATTTTCTCTAGCACTTGGTTTTTATCCTGATGTGTTTAAACGTTACCATTAATTAGAACCAAATGAATATCTATGAACATCATCTAATCTTCCATTAAATGTGAATCCACCAAAGATATATAAAAAATCTTCATATATAACCCATGAACAATTATTTCTTTAATTTGGTACTACTTAATCAAATCTATCTAATCGTTCCCATGTTTAATGATCATAATATTCACAATCATCAATTTCGAGTTCATCATGTTTTATATACATAGAAACTGAATGAAATCTCTCATCAATCTCAAATTCTCTATCTACTCTATGTGATTAATTTATTTGTTATCTCATTAATGCTCTTTTTATTCTTAAATTGTCTTGTTCTGATGATAATCTTCTATTCATTTTTAAAAATATATATAATTATTAAAAACAAGCCAAAGAATTATATTACAAAATTTTTGATATCTGCCATAAAATATTATATTTATGATATAAAATAAATAGTTGTTATTAAATTCTCAACTCTTTTCATCAATAAGAAAATGTATAATTTAATTGAGTCATAATATATATTTTTATGTAAAAATAAATTATTATACATTTAATTATCAAATTACAACATATAAAATGAAATCAATAATTTCTAATATTAAACAACTTATCTTTTTTTATTCTGATCAAATTTATTTATTCATCTAAATTTTAAATCAATTCAAATAAGTATATACTCTTTGATAACTAAGTTAAATATTTATCCTATATATCTTTAATAAAATCATATGTATATTAACAAATAATCATATATTTGTATCAATATTTTACCATTATATTATCACATCTTTATAAATATTTTTCAAATTTCAATAAAATTGAAGTAATCTAAAAACAAAATTAAAAATATATTTCTATTCAATTATATAGTCATTCTTTTTTTATTTAATCCATTTTAATTAAACTTTACATGCTTTCTTAGATAGTGGCCTTAAACTATTTTAAAATTTTTATATAAAATAACAATATTCTAGTAAACATTCAATTTTAACTTAAGAAATAAAACATAAATTGATGTTTAATTAGAATTTAGTATAATTTGTTTAGTTACTATAATAAAATAGGATTCATCATTAATTGATATATTATTTATTTATATAAATATAGCTTATTGTGAATATTATCATAATGCATATTATATTTGTGAAGTTGATCAATTAATTAAGTTAAATATTCCAAAATATTTGAAGTAGTTTACCATTCAACAATTAAATGTAAATTAGAATATCTGTTATATAATTTATGAGAATCTAAGTACAATACTTTTAAATTTATATATTAATGTTTTAGAGTAAATTCCAACCACATTTAATAATTAGAATTATTGATTCTATTTAGATATAAAATTATACTGATTCATTAAATGAAACTATTCCTTTAATCTTATGAATATCAAATTAATTGCTAATATACAACTATTTACAAGATATATAACCTATATTTATTACTTGATTTTTATTTAATAAAACTGCAATAAAAATTAAGATGAGTTAAGAAATCTTCAAAAGTGATGATTAGAAAGTACAATACTTAAATTAAGGTCTTTCAGGTATGAGATTAGTAACTTCAGAAACTAAATAAATAGTCACCTAAGTAATTGATACTTATTTATATTTAGCAACCAGTTATTGAAATTTCATAACAAAAAACACTAATATAAACCTAAAGTGAAGCTCCATTGAAACAAACATAACAATTGCCACCCCCAAGGATTTAAAGTCAAAATGTTTTAAGATAAAATATGTAAATACCTTAGGTGTCATATCCTGGCACCTATAGTGTACAACAAAATTGTTAATAAGCTCCACCTTTGTGTATGAACATAGTAGTTGTATCTAAAGAAGAAATAGAAACTCCTTGGAGATTAGAATGTGAATATCTTTAATCAATTATTGCTGATTTGGAAAGAAGGAAGGAAGGGAAAGTAGTTGAGAAAGTAGTAGTAGAGAAAGTTACTGATAACACTCGTGTAGAATAATTAGAATCATAATTACGCACTTTAAGATAAGAAAATGAATATCTTAAAAATTAAATGATGCAAATGAAAAATAATTATGAATCTTAGATTGAAAGTTTAAGAGGAGATATTTCTTTACATAGTGCTAATGCTGCTGATGCAAGTTCTATGTAAGCAGAATTCTTTGCTATGAGAACTCAATTAGAAGATTAGATAGCTGGACTAAGAAGACAATTAGCTGATCTAGAACTTCTTTATTCATAATCTTAAAGTGATAATGATAGATTAAAACAATCAAATTAAAATAAAGATACAGAAATTCAATAATTAAGATTATAATTATCTTAATTATAAACCAGTGCTTAGGATACAAGTTAATTGAGAGATTTAGAAAACTAATTGAGATTAGCAAGAGATGAGATTTCCAGATTAGAAAGATCACTTTAATAAGCTAATCAAGATATATTGAATTGGAAAACCAAGTATACAACAATAGAATAAGAATCTTATAGTAAAAATAATGAACTCATTATGTAATTAAGAGATTTAGAAGTAATACATCATATATAATTATTATTAGAATAAATTAGCCATGGTTACTGTAGAATTGGATAGATTATAAATACAATTATAAAATAAAGATTCTGAATTAGAAGATTGGAAAATTAGATACACATAATTAGAATCATAAGGAACAACTGTGATTTAAGAGAAGGTGACATATTTATCATAGGAAGTTGAAGTTTGGAAATCAAAGTTCATTAAAACTAATCATGAATATAATAAATGTTAAGAAGAATTAACTATGTGTTAAGCTGAATTGGAATCCCTCAAAAAGAGTGCATAAAAGAAAGTAATAAATTAATATATATATATTCTAGGAAGTTGTTGTAACCTCAAGAACAGTCACTTCAAGAACAGGTAATACTCTATCTGTTACAGGAACAACTGGATCTTAATCCTAAATAAAAAGAACCGGTTAGTAAGAGTGACATTTTCATTTATATAAGAATATTAATTTATGATTTAATCAGAAATATATGATATTGAAGCCTATATGCAAATTGGACAAGGTTTTTGTGTTTAATCATAATAGATGGATATTAATTCTTGAAAAAAATTGCTCCTTTGACTTAAGAAAATCAATGGTAACAATTTTCAGAAGAAGATGGATTTAAGATTCATATACGTCCAGATCCAGAAACTGGTTTATGTCTAACTAGAGGAGAAGGCTTTTTACCATATACAATAGATGAAATATTTGCAATTATTGAAGACATACCATTAAGACCCAAGTATGATGGAATTTGTGAATCTGTAAAATAATAAATAAAATTAGGGTTAAATTATTAGACGATTCTCTGATGAATTAATGCTTTTCTATTAAAAATTTAAATCAATGTTTTTTGTTATCAGTTCAAGAGACTTTGTTGTAATATCAAGAAAAATTGTTGAAGGTGATTTTACATATGCTATTGGAAAATCATTGGAACATCCAAATCATCCACCTGTTAAAGGTGTTGTTAGAGGAGATCTAAAAATTGGTGGATGGATTCTTGAAAAAAGAGAAGGAGTATTATTAATATTTTAATAAATTTAATTAGGGTACATTTTGTATATTTGTAACTTGGGCTGATCCTAAAGGAATGCTACCTAAAAAAGCAGTAAATATTGTTGCTGGGGCTTAAGGAAAAGTAGTATAACAAATTAAATTACTATTGGATGAAAGAAAAAAAAATGTAAATAAATGAATATGAATTTATTCATATTTACAATTTGTTTAACTTCTAATTCATTTCTACTTCAGATATTTTTCAAGAATAAATCTATTTTAAGCTTATTTATAAGGATATAAGAATATTCTATATTATTCTACTCAAAAAAATAATTTATTTTTAAAGTATTACAATCTAAAAATAGTATTCTTTCTAAAATCACATCAATGAATATAATAGGCATAAGACAATCATTTTTATAAGTAATACTTCATATTTATATATTATATTGATACGTATTTTATATTTCATACTGATTACCCTGATTAACTAAATCTAATCTTTCAAAATACTTACAATTTTCTCCACAACTAAATGATTCCAGTTGAAGCCATAACTGAGTTAGCAAATACAAGCATAAATTATCTGGGTTTAAGTATCCAACACCATCTATTTTAAAGATTACATTTAACCTTGCAAAAAGAGTTCCTGACATTGCTATTACAGATTATTGAACAGGATTTATTGTATCTACAGGCTTCTTAATGATATCATATATGTTAGCCACAGATATTCCACATTTTGCTAAAGGACAATAGAAAAATATTGTGAATGGTCCTTTCTCTGCTTAAAACCATCTAACCATGAATTATGGCCAGAATGTTTGAGCACATACAAATGCTTATAATTTCTTAATAGGCCCCATATTTTCTTTATTTAAATGATATATTTATATCTTATTGCTTATCACTATTAGAATGTCAATTTATGATCCAAAAATATACTTCTGATTAAGAATGATAAAGCGTATTAAATTATAAACTCAATATAATTTATTTGCATATTATAATCTTAAATGGATTTATATTTTGAAATTGCTTATTAATTTTCAATATAAGAAGTAAACAACTATTTTTCATAATATTGAATCATCTAANCTGATGAATTAATGCTTTTCTATTAAAAATTTAAATCAATGTTTTTTGTTATCAGTTCAAGAGACTTTGTTGTAATATCAAGAAAAATTGTTGAAGGTGATTTTACATATGCTATTGGAAAATCATTGGAACATCCAAATCATCCACCTGTTAAAGGTGTTGTTAGAGGAGATCTAAAAATTGGTGGATGGATTCTTGAAAAAAGAGAAGGAGTATTATTAATATTTTAATAAATTTAATTAGGGTACATTTTGTATATTTGTAACTTGGGCTGATCCTAAAGGAATGCTACCTAAAAAAGCAGTAAATATTGTTGCTGGGGCTTAAGGAAAAGTAGTATAACAAATTAAATTACTATTGGATGAAAGAAAAAAAAATGTAAATAAATGAATATGAATTTATTCATATTTACAATTTGTTTAACTTCTAATTCATTTCTACTTCAGATATTTTTCAAGAATAAATCTATTTTAAGCTTATTTATAAGGATATAAGAATATTCTATATTATTCTACTCAAAAAAATAATTTATTTTTAAAGTATTACAATCTAAAAATAGTATTCTTTCTAAAATCACATCAATGAATATAATAGGCATAAGACAATCATTTTTATAAGTAATACTTCATATTTATATATTATATTGATACGTATTTTATATTTCATACTGATTACCCTGATTAACTAAATCTAATCTTTCAAAATACTTACAATTTTCTCCACAACTAAATGATTCCAGTTGAAGCCATAACTGAGTTAGCAAATACAAGCATAAATTATCTGGGTTTAAGTATCCAACACCATCTATTTTAAAGATTACATTTAACCTTGCAAAAAGAGTTCCTGACATTGCTATTACAGATTATTGAACAGGATTTATTGTATCTACAGGCTTCTTAATGATATCATATATGTTAGCCACAGATATTCCACATTTTGCTAAAGGACAATAGAAAAATATTGTGAATGGTCCTTTCTCTGCTTAAAACCATCTAACCATGAATTATGGCCAGAATGTTTGAGCACATACAAATGCTTATAATTTCTTAATAGGCCCCATATTTTCTTTATTTAAATGATATATTTATATCTTATTGCTTATCACTATTAGAATGTCAATTTATGATCCAAAAATATACTTCTGATTAAGAATGATAAAGCGTATTAAATTATAAACTCAATATAATTTATTTGCATATTATAATCTTAAATGGATTTATATTTTGAAATTGCTTATTAATTTTCAATATAAGAAGTAAACAACTATTTTTCATAATATTGAATCATCTAAGTAGTTGCATAGTCTATAATGAGATCTAAAGATAATAGAATATACTTAATTTGTAAATTTTTTATATCAATATTACTTATTTTACATTATTCTATTGGTTTATTATAATTTTATTGATAATTTAGTTTATGTTTAATTTTATGATATAGTTTCTTATGATGTTTAAATAAAAGATAAAAAAAAGAAAAATATTGATTGAAATTCAATGTGACACTATTTAATTTGAAAAATAAATTATAGAGTATAAACTCTAGTTAATTTAATAATAAATATCTATCTAGATTTAAATTCCTTTTAGATTTATTAATTTTATATAACACAAATTTATATAAATTTTGAATAGAAGAATATTATTTATAAAGTACACGTATTATTAATTAAAATGAAAATTCTTTTCGTTTTTGTGACATTGATTTTCCTCTTGGAAGCTGCTAAAAAAAAGAAAAAGACAGATGATAGAAGACCTACAACTGTTGAAGCTTTACTTTATTGCAATAGTTGCTAAGCAATAGTTCGAGAAACATTAAAGAAAGTTAAAACATCAACAAGAGAATCAGATATTACTGATGCTCTATCAGAAATGTGTTAAATGAAAAATTTCAGTGTTTATGAATATCCTCCTCCTGATATGAAAAAAGGATGTGAAGCATTTATGTCTGGATGGTCAGAAGAAGTGACTGAAGCCTTAATGAATAGAAAAGGAAATGATACAATTGAAGATGAAATTTGCTACAAATTAACAAATGTAATCTATTTATTATACCTATAATTAGTCATGTAAAGACATTGAAAAAGGTTAGAGAAAATAAAATGATGATTATGTCACAATTAATGGAAAGAAAGTAAAGATGGGAGATGATGGCAAAGTTGATATTAATATGAACAAACCAGCTCCAGATGATGATGATTTATGATATAAATAATGTTTCTTAATAATATTAATTATTAAATATTTTATAGCTGTTAATATTAATGATTATAATATAATTTAATTCTTGAAAAAACTGAATATATAATTACTACATTGAAATGATAACAATTATTCAAATTAGAACAAAGTTAATATGTATTAAAATTCTTATATGTATTTATACTTTATAACGCGATGTATATATATATAACTCAATAAATAATTGAGCTTCTCATTCATTTGAGATGAGAAAATGAGAAGCAATTCAAGAATATATTATTTAGTATCTATTCTATTCTCCTAAATATTTTCTTTTTATATAGCTATAAAATCTATTCTTAACATGATTCTCCTATAAAAATTAGAAAATATTTAATTACAGGTCTTCCATTCAAATTATTTGAAATTTTTGTCCATCTAGGTCCGTTTATGATATACTAATCCAAAATGAACATATCTTCTTCATAAGTCCAAGGTTATTTCTTTATAGATTAATCTAATTTATTGATATATCTATCTCTAGCTTATTTCCCTGTTATATTACCGAAACCTAAATTAAATAATAAAACTACATTTCGCAATTTTCACCCATTACTTTCCTATATCTTAAACTAATTATGTTAATTTATCATCTTCTTCCTATGTCCAGATATGTCTTGTTTACTAATTAAATAATTTAATAAAATTACATCTTTAGGTGGATTTATTCTTCTCCATCTTTATTAACATTAAGATGCATTCCTTTGAGGCATATGTTTTGCAATTTCATTCCATTTTCCTTAAAATTGATCAAATAAATATTTGAGTCTTTAATCTTCTTCATCATTCCAAATTTTTTATTTTCTTTTATTTAACTCTTAATTTTAGGAATTAAGAGATGTGTCGTCCTCTTTTATTTTAAGAATTATTTCCTGATCTTCTGTATCTTAAAATTATAAACATTCTTTGGTATTGAATGACACTATTAAGTAAAATTAAAAAAAAATAGTACAGTGATAATTTGATTCAAAATCTGAAAATGGTTCCATATCAATTGATTAGGGAGATGATATATTCTCTTATGAAACTATTTCATCTAAGAAAATGGAATCCTTGACTCTATTTGAAAACATGGATATTTTATTACTATTATTACATAATTGAAATAGATTAATAGTAAAAAAAAACAAAGCAAATAAACTGAAATACATAATTAAAAATAATTATTTTATAATTCATTATTTTTTAACTAAGTGTCAGGACAGTGTTTAAGTAGTAAATTCCTATTCAATCTAATTGGTTCTACTATAAATGACTCAAAAATTTTGTTTTGGATAGACTAAAATAAATTTTTGAATTTTCATAAAGAAAATCAATTTTAATGTATCTTCTCTATATGAATCCTTTTATTTTAGCCCTATTTAGGTTATATATCTTAAAAGAAACAATATAAGGATTTTTTAACTCTAAATTTGATATAGTTTTTCTCATGAACACAAATCCTTCATTTAAATTAGGCAATTATGAATTTAGATTGTCTTTATTGCTAAAACTAACTCAAAAGTGATAGGGTTACTTTAGAAATAGGTTTGCTAGTTTATAGGATTTGATTTAGAAGTTTTATGAATAGTTATAATTATATCTTAAAAAAACTGTAATATTTTTTTTCTATATATTAAATGTCATTTTCATAATATGGAGAATATATTTTGATTATAAATTTTATCATTTGTAACTATATTATTTATTGAAATCAAGATCCATATTAGTTAATTCACTTAATTATTTGAATAATACTTAACAAGAATCTCTATTAATTTATAACATAGAATCTTACATCATTTAAGCATCTTTGACTAATAGATTTGGATAAACTATACTTAAATTTTTAGGTGTTTATTCAGATTCTAAAATAAAAATCTAATATTTTACTTGGAGTAGTATTAGAATACGGAGTTTAGAAATTTAATTATCTTGACACTGGATCTCTCTTTATTAATTTCTCAGGTGTTTTATAATACATAATTCTCCTTTATACTTATCTTCTAGGTACTCCTTTAACTAAGGTTTCATCTTATCTTGGAATCACTTAAAGATCTTCCCATCTATTTTACATTTTCAATCTTCTTTTTAAAGTGCTATTCCAATGATTTTTAATAGAATTATCAGTCCTACCTTTTAAGAGTCCAGCAATTAATGACCATCTATTACCTAATTTTTTATGTGCTTCTATTATTGTTTAGTCTTCTTCATCAGTCCATCTTTCTTTATTAATTTTAGGATCTAAATGATTGTGAAATCTAAATTATATTTATTAATAAATACCTCTCTCTACATTATTTTCCAATTCTACCAGGTAAATGTTTAGCTATTTAACTCCAATTTTTAGGACCACAATTTGTTACTAATTTTATTAATAATTCATCTTCTTCTTAAGTCCAAGGTCCTTTAACTAAATCAGGATTTAACACTTTTTGCCATCTATGTAAACATTATACATCTGTTCTTTCTTCAAAATATGATGCTATTTTTTTCCAATTTTTTGCTCCATGCTGAGTTACTAATTCTTTAAGTTATTAATCTTCTTCTTCTGTCCACCATCTATATTAAATAGTAAATAAAATACCTCTTTTTTATAGTTAAGGGAGGATCAATATTATTGCTATTAAGCAGTGTTTCAACTTTTGTTTTTATTTCATTGATTTTATTTCTATTTTTCTTTGGTATGAGATTTTCAAGTTGACTATAATCGAATATAGGTTTGATTATATGTGGATCTTAATCTTCATTTAAGAGATGAAGGATATTTGATTTAGTTGTTAACAATCTTCTCTATGATTGAGATGGTGATGTATTGGCTAGTATGAAATCCATATCTATTGGACTTTATTAAAGAAGATCCTTTAAAAAGGTTATACACATGTTCTTTTCCATTTAAGGTAAACAGAAACCATTAAGTTCAAATTGAGTTATTAATTGGTGGGCACTTCTCATTAAACAAATAAAAAAATTAATTAAAAAGATTAGATAATAGTGTTTTTTAACGAATTTGATTAAAATTTATTAATAAATATAATATACATAAGAAGATTCATTCTTAAGATTTTCTAACTATATCTATATTCAATTTTTCTATCTAGATTATATATTAATAAAATAATACCCTTTTAATACCTATACCTAATAGAATTACATTGATAATATTTGATTCTAAGTTTATACTTAGAAATATATTCTTATTTTCAAAAAGATATATATCTTGTTTTTAGAATGAATTCAAAAAAAATAATTACAAAAATATCTTCTAAGAAAAATCTTACATTTATAATTTTTTTAGAGAAACCAATAAACCTTCTTTATTAATGATTCTATTTAAACAAAAGAACAGAATTTCAAAATTAAATTTTACTAAAATATTCAAAATATACTTAGAATTAATTAATCAATATCTATAGAATTATTATCTTAATATTTTAAGAATTAGAAGGATTCTAGGAATCAATTAAGTAATTATGTATAAAGTTGAGGAAGAGATGTAGTAGGATTTATTACCAGGAATGAATTAGGACCTATTAAATATGGTATATGAAGTAGGATGATTATCAGAATGATTGAAATGATAAAAAATATGATGATGAGGATAGGGCATTCAAATCCATTATTTAATATGGGAGATTATGATGATTAATACAGAAAATCTGTTCTGACTTATAATAGTTTAGAAAGAAAAATGGAGAAAAGAAGGTTAATAATAATATGAAGAAAAACCATGAATTGTTAATTAATTTTAAGAGAATTGTATGATTATCAATGTGAAATATTGATTATAATTCAATAAAGAAAAATAAATTAGAAAAGATTTAGCCAGTTCATGATACTGTTATAATTTCAGAATATTAATTAGATTTATGGATTGAATTATCAACATGGAAAACCTCAGAGAAAGTCCAATTGATACTTAATAAGGCTATTTAAAAATTATCGCATAGTGTTAAAATTTGGTTGAATGCTGGAAATAAAGAATAAGGAAAACTAATTCTAAACTTCAATTATTAGAAAGAGCCTTTGAATTTATTCCTAATAGTGGAGATTTTTGCAAAGAACTTGTTAGTTTATCAAGTGAATAAGAAGCAATAATAATACACTTATGTAAAGCAGTTCAATATATTCTTAAAAATTTTATCATTTTGGTTGACATTAGCTAAATTAAACCTCTGAAAATGAAGAAGCCATTTTAAATAGAGCAAGGTAAAATCTCTTCAAGTGATAAATCTATGAGTTTAATTATTTCTATTTTTCTGATTAATTATGAATAAAATCAATAATTTAATGATTTTACATAATGTTAATATATGAAGATGAATAATATAAAGTCATTAAAATGAGAAAAATTAAATATAGAAGCGAGTAAGTTAGCTCAAAAAAATATTTCAAATAAGGATGATTCAAATTAATTATATCTGTAATTAACTATATTAAAATTTTTATTATTTATTTATCTTTTATCAAATTAAATTGGATTTTTTTAAAAATCAATTAATTATAAATAACTTTTTAATTTTAAGGAAATTTATATTTTCATAATTAACTAATTTCTAATTATTAGATAAGTACATATACCATAAAATATCTCTTATTTATTAGATTTAATACTTTCTTATTCATTTAAAGAAACTAACAGGATACAAATAAATAGGTAGAAAATAATAGTAATATTTATATAAAGAGATATTCAGAATGTTTATTAAAGAAGATTTATTAATAAGTGTTGGTCTATTTTATCGAATATTCAATATTGCTTTATAAATTCTATATCATTCTAATTTAACAATCAGAGCTCCTGATTCAATAAATTCACCTTCCTTGTATCTTACTTCTTTAACTTCACCATCTATAGCAGCCTTAACTGTGTGTTACATCTTCATAGTTACCATGATAATTAAAGTATCACCTATAATAATAATGTAAAAGCAAATACCTATTTTTACTTTTTATCCAACATTTACATTAACTTTATTCAAAATACAAGGAATAGAAGCAACAATCTCTTTATCATTACCAAGTCTAAGATTCTATTTGCTCTTTATAAATTCCTCAGAAGTTACAGTAATTGTGATAGGATCTCCTTCAGCATCAAAAATTAATACGTTTTCTGTATTTCTAATTGTTCTAATAAAAATGCCTTGATTAGTTTCAAAAATTAATTAATTGTTATGTTCATTACTTTTAGTTACTTTTTGTACTATAATCTTAGATCCTTCAATATCTAATTCATGATTAGTTCCATTTATGTTATGAGTAATTATCATTTCCTTTTAATTTGCATATGATGCACTTTAAATATTTAAAGTTAATTTATTATTAACTTAAGCTCCATTTCTAAAATTTAATAGTGATTTTGGCAACTGAACTGAATTTAGAAAATTTCTACCAGCAATAGCTAAAGCAATATCAATAGGATTATAATTGTCTTTTAATTTTAATAAATTATCTTAATTTTTAGTAATGAAGGAGGTATCATATTATTAATTTATATATTCTGGATGTTATAGAACAGTTTTTAAAAATGATATGTTATTAGGTAAACCTTGAATCTAATATAATAATATTAAAAATTACTTAATAATTTTATAAAGCATTTAAAAGAGTTTAGATAGCCTTTTATCTATTTTCTCCATAAACAACCAGCTTAGCAATCATAGGATCATAAAAGATAGAAATAGTATCACCTTCTCTTACACCAGTTTCAATTCTAACAGTTTAAGATGCTTATGGTTCAGAATAATGATCAAGTTTGCCACACTCTGGGAGAAAATTATTATTTGGATTCTCTGAATAGATACGAGCTTCTATAGAATGACCTTTTCTTTTAATTTATTCTTAAGTTAATGGTAAATGTTCTCCACTTGCAACTTTAAGTTACCATTCAACTAAATCAACCCCAGTAATCATTTCTGTAATTGGATGTTCTACTTATAATCTTGTATTCATTTCCATAAAATAGAATTTACTTTAATCCAAATCAAATATAAATTCTACAGTTCCTGCATTTGAATATTTAACTGCTCTTGCAGCTTCTTTTGCTTTCTAATTTAATTAATTAAATCATACTTCTCCTATATCATATCTTAAATTCTCATCCAAAGCAGATGGTGCCTCTTCTATTACTTTTTAATGTCTTCTTTATATTGAACAATCCCTTTCAAATAAATGAACATAATTATTATGTTTATCACCAAAGATCTAAACTTCAATATGTCTAGGCTTTTCAATGTATTTTTCAATAAGCACTCTTTCATCTTTGAAACTAAATTATGATTCTTTTTTTGCACTATCTAAAGCCTCTAAGAATTCAGACTTCTATCTCACTATTTTCATTCCTATTCCTCCACCACCCATAACAGCCTTTATTAAAACTGGAAATCCTATTTTTTCAGCCTCTTGAAGTAGACTAATCACTTTAAAAATATAATTACAAATTGGGATCTTAATTTTCACCATGATATCCTGGTACAACTGGCACTTTTGCATTTGTCATAATAATTTTTGACTCGCTTTTAGACCCCATTTTTCTAATTGAATCAGCACTTGGACCAACAAATATCTTGAAAATTAAAAGATATTTATTACAATATCATTTTTTTGACAATCTTCAGAAAATTGTGCATTCTCTGAAAGAAATCCATATCCTGGATGAATAGCTTGACTCTTTGTACTTAAGGCAACATCAATAATTTTGTCACTCTTTAAATATGATTACACTAACATATATTAATTCATTATTACAAGCTTAAGGAGGACCAATATTATAAGCTTCATCAGCCATCTCAACAAATAAAGTGTTTTTATCAATATCACTATACACAGCTACAGTTTTTATGCCCATTTTCTTAGCTGTCCTCATTACTCTACAAGCTATTTCACCTCTATTAGCAACAAGCAATTTATTGATATATGACATCTAAATTGAATATTAATTATTGTTTATGATTAGAATTTAAATGCATAAGTAATTTAATAAACAACATGCATTTATAAAATTATCATTTCTTTTGAATTCTAATAAAAAATTTAGAAATATTCAAATGTATATCTGTCAAATTAATAAAAGAGAGTTATATTTAATTTGAATACTCATTATATGAATACTTTTTATTTAAATGATATATTAATATATCCTTCTATCTATATAAAATAATTATATTTCATGTATAAAATATATTTTTCATCTTTGAATAACTTTAATTTCTAAAATCTTACATTTATTTTATATGTTTAATCTATTGATCTTTAAACTTTAATATTATATTAACCATCATTCTCTATATTTTTAGTCCTTTTGTTTAATTGCATAATTAAAAATAATATTAACTTCTATAAATATTATATAATTTAGATTTATTATTTAGATATGTATCATCTTTATAGATAGAAGAAGTTTAACAATAAGGAAATGATTTACTTTCTTTGAATATATATTTTTCTTTTTAAGTTTGAATTCTTTAATTGAACTCATATTTAAATTATGTCTTAATATTTGATATATAATTTAAAGATAATCAATTGTGACCTCTAATATGAAAAAATTTAAAATACATTATAACAATATGTTGAAATAATTAATGGATCTTCTCTTTAATTAATATAAACATAAAAATATTTTGTAAATTATAATAGCTAAAATACTACAAAAGTATTATCAATTTTATTTTTTTTAATCTTTTTGATTAATAAATTCTTTTACATTACATTTAATTATGCAATATTTATCAATCTTTTTCCAACTGATTTTATGATGATTTCTTCAATTATCCTAAAATTTATTTAATATCCATTTAAATATTATGAGAATTCTAAATCATCAATGAAAAAGTATTAGACCTTAAAATATATTCTGTATCAACATAATTTATATCTATAAGAGTGTTAATTTACCTTTAATTTTTAATTAAATGATGTTTGGCTTTTTTTGTTTTTGGATTGACAACATTTAGCAAGAATGGCATTTATAAGAAGATCCTTTTGATAATCGGTTTATAAATATTATTATTTATGCTGTTATTTTAGTATAATGCAATTAACAAATAATGAGGTTTTATCAAAGTTAAATTTTGATTTGTGACTTCTATTTTGAAAAATATCTTTGACCCATCTTTAATTTCTCTATATGATTAATATCAACTGAGGCTTCAATATAATCTAATTGAAATTCATCAATATATTTATTGTGATTACTAGATAAAGTAAGATTTTTATTATTTTAAGGAGATGAACTACATAGTTTTATGACATAATTCAATCCAAAGTCTCTATCCATTTCTAAACTGGCATGAACATTAATATTATTATTATAGTTTTTGCTCATTTCATATTGTTATTTAGATAAGATGGCCATAGGTAATTAAATTGTTTAACATAGTTTTGTCTCTAAAAATGGATGAGTAAGAGCCTAAGCAGCAGTGATTCTATCCTTTGGATATTTCTTAGTCATTTATAAAATCAAATGTTCTACTATATATAGAATGATAATAGTATATACATTCTTATGGATAAAGTGAATTAGGGAATTCAAAATATGCATTAGCATTTCTCTTAATAGTTGACTTTTAATCTTGAGTCTTAAATGGATTATATCCATAGAGTCTAATATTATTAAATTGAAATACATAACAAATAAAGTAATACCAAAACTGAATATATCACACTATCCACTATATTATTTTTTTGTTTCATCATATCTTATTATTTCTGGAGCTGAATAACTAAGAAATATTACATAATTTTACCCAGGAGATCCACATGATGGAAATGGAATTCCTTTCTTCTTAGTACTTACAGCCAATCCAAAGTCGATAAGACTTGGTTAAGATAGCTGGCCATTTTTTAATAAGATATTTTATGGTTTAATGTCTCTATGCATTATGTTATGTTCATGCATCTCTTTAATTGCCAATAACATTTTTTGAATGAAACTTAACAATTCATATCCTTAAAAGAAAACTTTGCTGGTAGCTTTTGAGATTAATTCATAACCATGAATAAATTCAGTAACTAAATATAATTTTTCTGATGTCTCATAAACTCGATGAAGCTTTAAAATATTTATATGGTCTAATTCTCTTAAACTTTAAATCTCGCTTAATAACTATTCTTCATATTAATTATTAATTGACAATGATTTTGATTTCTTCTTAGGTATTGCTTTAATAGCAAATACATCACCTTCTTTATTTCTACCCTCATAAACCTTTTTAAATATAGAAAAGTACAGTTGAGAAACTTCCATTTCCAATCAGATTTCCAATTATAATATCCTCATTAAATGTTGTAATTATACAACAGTTTGATAAAAATTTAGTCCATATCTCATATTGATTTAGATCATCTGTACATAAAACAATTTGGAATCCATTATTTTTTAGATATATTTGAAATTCTGAATTAGATATTTAAAATGATGCATATACTCCATCTAATCTAACACTTCCTTTAATGTGTTAAGAATTCCCAATATCTGTATATAACAAGTATTGTCTAATTAAGATGTACTGACGTAAGCATTTCTGACCTAATCGTTTACCAAATTTATAGAAATTTGACATTAAACCTTTCTAAGTTTCATTATGATCAAATTAAGGAATATTTTAGTTATTCCAAAATTTTCCATTATTCATTTTATAAATCATTCAATATGATCTTATTCAATAATAATAATAATCAAAATAAATATCGATATCAAAATAAGATTCATCATACCTTTTGATTAATTAATTAATAATATTGATTCATTTTACTTGCTTAATGTTGATTGACTTAAATATACAGATCTATTAAACTATTGAACAAAAAATTGAAATAATGAAAATAATTCATTAATAATAATAATTTGAATAATAATATTCAATTGATAATTTCTTTAATATTGTCTATTTAATTTTAATAAGAATCAATAATAATAAAAGAGAGAGAGAGCTTTTACAAAATAATTAATAAACAAATTGAAATTTCAAATTAGTTTTAATGTATAAAAAACTACATTTCCAAATATATTCATTTCTTTATTATTCCTAAATTATATTTCTCAATGTGAAATGAATTAAAAATATAGAAATATAATTACATTTTTAATTTAATAATGGATGATGATGAATAATAAGAGAAATAACATCTAGCTAATGATGGTAGATAAATGACTTTAATTGATTAAATCATTAGAAATAAAGTTTTTAATTGCAGATATTGGAAAGAAGATTGTTTTGGATTAACTGCTGTAACGTTAGTTGATAAAGCCTGTAAATTAGATTGTGTAGGTAAAATCATTAAATTTTTATATTATAGGTGTAACATACTCTGGTACTGGAAAACCTTTGCCATTCCTTTGTTTATTAATGAAACTTTTGTAAATTAATCCAGAAAAAGAAATTATTATTGAATTTCTTAAAAGCAAAGATTATAAATATATAAGTGCTTTGGCTATGTTTTATATTAGATTGACTTCAAAACCTAAGGAAGCATATCCAGCAATTGAATAATTTTATGCAGATTTTAGAAAAATTAGAATTAGAAATTTAGATGGTACATTTGCAATTTGGCATATGGATGAATTAGCTGAAAAACTTTTAAATGAAGAAAATATTTTTGGAATTTCTTTACCAAGATATTAAAAGAGATGGATATTAGAAGAATAAGGTTAATTAGAACCAAGAAAGAGTGTTTTAGAAGAAGAATTATAGAATTAAGAATCAGTTGTATAATAAAAAGAATAAGAATAAGATTAAGTATAAAAAGAAGAGAAAGAATAAATAAAATCAAGAAGTAGAAGTAGAAGTCATAAGAAACATAAAAAACATAATAAACATCATTCTCATCATAGAAAATGATACTTAAGCTTAAATATGTTATAATTTCAAATATTAATAATATCAATAAATGTCATATAGAGAACTTCGTAACTTCTGCGAATAAATGAGGGCTTTGGGTTATCATAGAATCATTTCGATTGAGAACTTTAGAAGACCTAATTTTGAATTAGTTGCAGATATCTTATATTGGTTAGCCTTGAAGTATGATCCAAATACAGACATATCAGATAATATTGATGAAGAAGTAATAAATGTAAATTAAAATATAGCGTCATCGAGTTGAATTTATAAAATAGATTACTACTCTTTTTGTTAGTAAAGCTAGACTCAAAATAAATCCAAAAAGATTATATATGGCTGATGTTTATGCAGTTCAAGAAATTTTGAAAATTTCAACTTTTTTATATAAAGCATAAATCTCCTTACCTGCAGAAGAGGAGGAAGTACATGATTTCGTAAGCATATTAATCTGATATATCAAAGTCACTTCCCTCTAAATTAAGTAATATTAAGAGTCATAAGGTATTGGCATAAGAAATTACTGATTTAGCTACAAGATTATATGATTAATTAGGAAAAGAGGATGAAGTGAGAATAGCAAGAGTATTAAATTCAAATTTTATATTTAGGAAAAAGCATTATAATTCTTATCAAATGTATCTCGAAGTGGGAATTCACAATCTGAATAATCTTATATTTAAAAATGCATTTAAACTATATTGAAATAATAAGAATCAAGCATATAAGAAATGTCTAAATATGTAAGTGGTTTAGAGAGAGAACAAAAATAGATTGAAGAAAAAATTAAGAGAAAAACAAAGGAATTAGAATAAGCTGAGAAAAGATTAAAAGGAATGACAAGTGTTAAACCTGCTTATTAAGAAGAATATGATAGATAAGAATATGAATTAGAAAAATTATATTAAGTAATAAGATTTTAATTATTTAGATTTATGTTGAGAAATTTAGAAATCTTGTATATTTAGAACATGTTTTAGATGCTCAAAATAAATAAGCAGAAATGGAATAGAAAAAGAAAGATTAAATATTATAAGGTGTCAGAGGTGCAATTTAGAAGGCATAAATAAGTGATTTAAGAGGTGGAGATGATGATGGAAATGATGATTAATTAGAATAATTAGGAGATGATTCTAGATTATAATCAAGTAATTAAGAAAAACGAAAGAATGAATTTATGAGATAATAACATGGAGGTTTTAATAAATAATAAATGGATGAAGATGGAGAAGTAGATGATATAGATGATTTAAGTGGTGGTGAAAATGAAGAAGAAGAGGAAGAAGAAGATGAGGATGGAATTGAAAATTTAGAAGATGATGGTGAAGATGCAGACTTTTGAAAATAACATATTTATTATATGTATAAATATAATTAAAATGGGGGTATGTTCCAATAAGAGTTAAGACATGATTTCAAAGGAAGAGGTATGTTCTGAAAATTATAGAATAGCTAATCATACAATTATTAGATATTAATAATCCTGGGAATGTTAATCATAGATATGCTAATATTTTTACACTTATTCCAAATAAGTATATTGGAACGGGAATCAAATAAACTAATCAATATTCAACTAATTTATCAAGAATTGAATGGGATTTAATATAAAATTAGTTTTGGAGTAGAGTTATAAATTATATCAAGATAGTCATAAAGATAGTTCTGAATGGTAACTTATAAGGAAGGCCTTATCTTAAGAAGATGAATGTATTATATTTATTTAATATATTTTATAGCCTTAGCTTTACAAATTCTCAATTAAGCCAATTTCAAATTGATTAGAAATTCCATTTAGTTATTAGTTAAAGATAGTATAATTTTTATTTAAATAAGAGTAAATATATCAAGTTCCAATATTTGTAATTAATGAGCCTACATTTTGTAGTAATCAAAATTTTGAATTGAATTTTGAAACGTCTATCTTAAAAGTAATTAAAACAAACTATTTAGGTGAGAGTTCGCAGTAGTAAACTGCCTTAAGATTATGAAATTTCTACTTAAAATACTTCTACTATTTAAGAAATTAAGTAAATCATATTAAAGGTTGCAAATGAGAAAACTTGCAGATTATTTTTAAATGGAAGAGAATTAATAGATTAGAATTAATTAGGAAATTATTCTATAAGTTCAGGAACTGTATTATTTAAATTATTATAATATTAGGTAATCTAAGCTTTTTTGTGATTATATTTATATTTATTGATATTTTGGATGCTTTAAGATTTATTATCTTACATCAAATAAATAAATTATTAATTTTATAAGGGAATTAATTAATGATTTAATCCATATGTTAATATATTTCAGAAATCTTTGAATTGTTATTCGTAATCTTTTTAAGGTTTTGAGTGATCATCATCAATTACCTTATTTGGATCTAAATTTTATTATGTATATTATTATTACCTTCACTAGTGAAATCTTTATCGAAACCATCCAACCATTATTCCCCTTAAACTCTTGGTTTGTAAGGAGTAGGTACTTTTTTTTAAATCAACTATTCCCAATTAATATCTTTGAACCAAGGATGTGCAATCAACTCTTAGAAATCACCCTTAGCTCCTAATCTTGTAAATCGATCTCTTACAAGTAACTTATATATTATAAAAATTTACTCTTGAAATAAAATCTTTAGCTTCCTTACTTACTTCTGGTCTTTCAGGGAATCTTAATTCAGCTTCCTTAATCAATTTAAACATAATTGTTTAATTTTTATTATAAAATGGAGGCAATCCATACATCATTTCATATGTAAGTATTCCTAAACTCCACCAATCAGCTGTTTTATCACAACCATATCCTAGAATGACTTCTGGACAAAGATATTCAGGAGTACCACAGAATGTCATTGCCAATTCATTTTTACGTACTATTTTAGCCATTCCAAAATCTGTTAAGAATACATTACCTACATCATCCATTAATATATTTTCCAATTTAAGATCACGATAAACAATATCTTTACTATGTAGATGTCCTAATCCTAACAATAATTCTGCAACATAAAATTTAGCTCTTTTTTCATCAAATTTTCTTGCCATTCTTAAATGTTAAAATAATTCACCTCCTTTCATGAATTGCATTATGAAAAACAATTTCTATGGAGTTTAAAATGCATATGCCAAATTCACTAAAAATGGATGATTTACATGTTCCAATATCATTTTTTCTGTTTTTGTATGTTCAAGTTGATCTTTCTCTATAATATCTTCTTTTCTTATTGTCTTCATAGCAAACCATTCTCCAGTGTCTTTTTTCTCAACCAACATAACTTGCCCAAATGCTCCTCTACCTAAAACTTTCAAGATTGAGAAGTCATCTAAAGTAACTTCCTTCCCTTTCTCTCTTGCCCATAATGTTTAAGTTTTCTTTCGTGCATCATCTTTCTCTTTTGTCTCTCCTTCTAAAATTTAGGCAAACATCTCGTTATCCATATATTAAGGTTATTCAGAAGGGATCTTTGAGACATGCTTCTTCTTATCACTTTTAGTAGTAGCATAATTGTATAATGATACATCCTCTTTAAAATAACTAAATACAATATATATGATTATAATACATTGCTAGTTTAGATTTAGTGAATAAACTATAACCTTCTAAGATCTTGGATACTATTTTATTGCGTCTATTAATCATTCATGTAATTACTTACTTGTCATAACTGCTATATCTATAATCATATTCATCTGGAACATGGATTACAAATTCAGTACCTATTGAGGACAATGTTATAGCCTTTATCTTATTATATGGAATCTTTCTCTTAATTGCTAATGAGTAAACATTAATAAAGATGATACATGTGCCTTTAAGATTTATTACATTCTTTGTTGACACTAACAAACTACGTTCTTGTCTCTTCTTGTAATCATTAAATTTAAACAAGTTGCATGACAACAAAATGCGTTCTAGATAGATTATCAAGGTTGATTACCATCCTGATCCAACTATTTAGAAAACTTATCATTCTCTAAATTGAGTTCATCATTAGGATTATGATTTTACATAGTATTTATTAAATAATCAATCCCATTAGATCCGTTTGCCTTCTTTCCATACTCCTTTACGAGAAGTACCATTAGTAAAGAAATATTCACCTATTCCATCTTATTTTCCCATTATCCATTAACCTACATATTTATGACCATCTTCCCATATCAATGTTCCAAAACCATGCTTCTATCCTTCCTTGTATTCTCCTTCATACTGTCTCCCTAGATAATCTGCATTCCATACCATCTTCCCATTTCATCATGCCCTTCCCATTCATTTAATTATTTACCCAATCTCCTTCATATATTCTCCCATCAGGCCAAATGTACTTTCCTTGTCCGTGAAGATTATTCATTTGAAAATTGCCTTCATACTTTGAACCATCTGGATACGTTAGCTTTCCAAAACCTTCTTTCTTACCTTGTTTGTAATGCCCTGAGCATAGATATATTATCAATCAGCTACCTTCAAATAAAGAACCATCAGGCCAACTCTCAACACCGTATCCATCTTATCTATCTTCGACCCAGTCACCCTCATATTTAGCTTGGTTGAAGTTTATGTAGACTCCTTTTCCATGAGCTTAGTCATTTAACCATTCTCCTTTGTAGACATCACCATCAGAATGAGTCAAAATACCATACCCATTAGCCTTATTGTTCTTCCATTCCCCTTTATAAGTTGACCTAAAAACTTAAAATAAGATATGTCATACCCATCTGGCCATCTTTATTCTCCTTATCCCCAACGTTTACCTTGCATCCACTCTCCCTCATAATAAGCATCATCCTCCATTAATATTTTTCTCAGTTTTACAGGAACACTTGAATTCAAAGTAGATTATATTAAGATTTCATCTTCAATAGAAATTATTTAAGGAAGAGCACTTTTATTAGAACATTATGAATATTAATCATCTTTGTTCTCCTTTGATTTCCCATGAGTAGAGTGCATAATTAAATCATCACTCTTTATTCCAGTTTCAATTGCAAATTCTTCCTTTTTTGTAAGTTATTGTACACCTTCACTAACATAACACATCTTAGTACAATTACCCATTTATTTTAATTAATAAAAATATATAAATTTTCACTGTTACTCTTCGATTCTCATATTATCATCGTTACCCCAATCTAAATAATTTTTTTATTCAGCTGCTTTGTATTCACTAATTAAAGATTCTAAACACTCTCTTGATTCATCAAATTCATCAAGTGAATCCTTAAACATAGCCTCTTTTTTGTATTAATCAAGGAAAGCATTTCTGTTTCTCAACTTATGATATTGTTTTAATATTCTATCAAAAAGCTAAAACCGTTTCATAAATATAATACTGAATGAATACTGGTATGATTAGCCAACATAAGTCCACTAACTTTATGTGAAGTCTCAATATATGGACTCTTCTTTGAAAGTGCTACTTAAATTGAAGTAGGACCCCATTCAATAAAACTGGCCAGTTTGCGCTCTCTAATTCTTTATAAACTTTTATGTATTTGAGTAGCATCGACATCTCCTTGAATGATATTTAAAATCGAAATATAATTTCCATTCTTAGTAGATGTTGAAACCATGATGTTCTTAGTCTAAAGTAATCTTCTCATGACATCTAAGACTGTGGTTTTTCTTACAGAAGAAATCTAAATTTGAATATAAATATATACATGTCTATCAATAGTCAAAGGAGTATATCCAGTCATTAAAAAGTGACATCTAGGTGTTGGGACTAATCCAGCTAAAATACTAACTAAATCATTATTCATATATCCAGGATATCTAAGTGTAGTTGTAGAAGCAGCCATAACCATAGCCACTAATGAATTGGTTTGAGATACAGTTGGTATGGGTATTTTGAGTCTGTCAACAGCTATTCTATTCAAAGCAGTATTGTCCAATACAACAACAGCATCTGCATTTTAGGCTAATCTACGTAGAGTAAGTAGGGAATTATAGGGTTGAACAACAACATCACTAGTCTCATTTTAATTAGGGAACACAGAGTATGTTTATATAATTTTCTTGGGAAAACGATCATTCAATCTTTCCAAAATATATGATCCTGATCCTGAACCTGTACCACCAGCAATTGAATGAAGCATTAAAAATCCCTCCAAACTGTCTGATCCATCAGCTTCTCTATCTATCATTTCCATTAATTCTTCTTAGTATCTTTCACCTTATGAATAACCACATGCCCAATTATTTCCTGCTCCACCTCCATCTTTTGAAATAAATATATTCTCAGGATTGAAGAGAGTAGAAAATTATGATGTCTATATATAATTGATAACTCTAGGTTCCATGTCTATCAATAAAGCTCTTGGTATGTAATGTTCATCATCAGCTTAATAGAAGAACACATCTTTCCTATCATCTCCTTAGAGTGCAAATTCCTCCAAAATTCCCTCATTATTTATGCCATGCTCTTTGATTAATTATTTCCAAAACTCAATACCAACTAAAAGTATTTCATTATACACTTACTTTGATTACCACATTATCCAACTTGAAGTGTAATGATTTCGCGAGGCATTAAAGAATTTAAATTTTTATATATTATTTTCCCCTCCTAATATTATAATATTAACGGCAATGCGCAATAGTATAATAACTCAACTTGAATTCAAAGATGGAATATACCAAGGATAAACATTACAATCTAGATATAAACAAGGAATTGGAGTTTATTTATGGGAGAATGGATCTGCCTATTTTGGTGAATGGAAATCAGATTAAATAGATGGCAATGGAATACTTTTTTTACCTCCCAAAACAACTATATAAGGATAATTTAATTCAGCAAAATTACATGGAAATTGTCTCATATAAACAAGACAAGCAAAGTATTATGGTAAATGGCTCAACGGTTTACCTAATGGAAGCATGACTGCCTATTTCAAATAAGGAGAAGTTACAATAGCATTTTAAGATGGAAAACCAACAAGAGGTCTTAGTTAAAGAGATTAAACATGTGAAATTCCAAATTTAAAGAGTGTTTAATGTTACAATAGTTCTGCTTTATAAACAATTGATTGGTTAGATGGAACATTTTATGGTATAACAGGAAAGAATGCTGCAAATAAAGTAGCACCTAATGGATTAGGTATATTTGTTCCTTAAAATGGATTATTTCAATGTGGATAATTTAAAGATGGTGTTTTGAATGGTTTAGGTAGATTATAATAAGCATCTGGAGAAATATATTAAGGTTTCTTTGAAAATGGTAAGTATCATGGAAGAGGCATTTATTTATTTAAGGAAGATGAATTATAATGGGCTAAAGGAATGTGGAGATTTGGAGAATTGATTGAAATTTATTAAAGTGGATTAGTTAAAAATTGCACTTCTCCAAAAGATTTGATGTGTATATTTATTTTATTATTGTAGTTCCATATAGTGATCATAAAAATCCTATTTAAATTAGATAACCTATTACCCTTAATAATATTAAAGAAATTGAAGATTTATTTGAAATCTAATTTTAAAAATAAGAACCCATCTAAAGATAAACTAGTGCTTCTCCTAGTCCTGAACGAAAGAATAAGTTATCAAATTATAAATATTTTCAAAACTCTATGTCAACTTCATATAAGAGAATCTCTGATGCCTTACATGGAAGTAAATAGAATTCATCTCCTGAAAGAAATAGCATTTAACTAATAAAGTATTATAAAGGTTAATTGAGAGATATTGATTAAAATGAGCAACAACCTTAACAAAAAAAATCTATTTAACCCTAATAGAATACAAGAAAGTCTCATTCTAATTCAAAGTAGTATTTAATTTAAAGTACAAAAAAGAAAGATTCTATTAATAATAAATCATCAAGTAAATTAAGTTAATCAGCATATGTTGATGAAATAAAAAAACTTCAAACTCAATTTACCAAACCTTTTGATTAGAATAAAAGTGTATAGTCTTAATAGAGTCAAATTTATTAGGCAATATTGGATAGTGAAGAACATTCTAGTTAAAGAAGTGAATTATTCTAAGAAAAATAATAATCTTCACCAAAGGATCATATTGACTAAATTATTAAAAAATCTAAATAATATCAATAAGAATAATCTATTGAATAATCTAAAAAATCAATATTGGATTAATCAAGATCATCTTATCAATCAAAACAAGTCAAAAGTCCTAAACATTTACAACAATCAAAATCATCTTAACAATCTAGATGTAAATCATCTGAAGGTCATAAAAAGTTTTAATAGTAACATGAACTTGAAGATTTAAATAAAATAAAGAGTGAAAGTAATAAATTAAAAAAATAGGATAGTAAAAATATTGAATAGCTTCCTTTGGATACATCTTAATAATCATAATAATTATGGGAATCTAGATAAATTAAAGAATTCTCATAATTGAGAGATTCAAAAAGATCTGTTCAGTCTTCATAGCCTGTATCATAAAGAATTTCAATCAAATCTATAAATTAAGTAGCTTCTAAATAAATAACTCCTTAGTAATCTCATAGAGATCAATAAAGTAAATTATAATAGTAAGAAGAATCATCATAATATTAATAATCATAACAATTTAATGAATCATAATTATCTCATCAGTCTTAATATTAATAATAATATTAATAATAATATTAATAATAATAATAATAATAATAATAATAATAATAATAATAATAATAATAATAATAATAATAATAATAATAATAATAATAATAATAATAATAATAATAATAATAATAAGATATTGATCATAGTAAAAAGTTAAGTTTCTGTTAATAAGACTTTGCTTTAGATATGAGAAATACAGCTATTTTTAATTAAACTGAATCTAATCAATCGAGTTAATTGAAATTTCATCGACATAAAAGAAGTTAATCTTAAACTGATTTTGATAAATTTGATATTGGAGATGATACACAAATGAAGTTGATTAAGCAATAACAACTATACATGTAATAATTGATAGAATAATAATAAAGAGAATTAGAATAGCTTAAAATGTAACAATAATAATTAGAAGAAGAAAATTAAATATCATAAAGTAGGCCAGGATATAAAACTAATGCTTCTTTAGATTCATAAGAGAGTTATCCTCAATAATAATCAGAAAGTTTTCATTAAGATTTTATTAAATCAGTAAGTGATGTATTGAAGAGTGAATTAAAAAAAAAGTAGGAAGATTCATTCATCCGAGATAATTAAAATAATTCTCCTCATTTTGAATAATCAAAAATAACAAATAATCAGTAATCTATGTTCTTCAATGATATATAGAGTTTAGATAATGTGAATGTAAATGAGAGATAACATAATAGAAGATCAAGTTAATAATAAGATGAAGCAAATAAATCTAGAGCTGATTCAATGATTAAAAAATAACCAGTTTCTCATACTGAATTAGATAATTTGCAGATTGATAAACTATAAGATGTTTAATCAAGATAATCTAGACAATCGAGATAATCAAGATATTCTGGAGAAAATAAATAATAAAGATCATAATCCAATCAATCTAGCTAAAGAAATTATTCAAATTAATAACATTCATTCTATTAATAATAATCATAGGAATAATTTTATCCATAAAAACAACCATCAGTTATATAAGAAAAAGAAGAGTCATAAAGTCGTTCATAATAAATGAAAGTTGATTTAATTAATTCTTATAATAAGTAAGATCATTTATCGAATAAGGATAATCAATAAGACTAATCATTTAATTCACAATAGATGTCTATTATTTCTAATCAAGTTCAAAATCAATAAAATAGTTTTAATAAATAAACATAGTAGGAATCTATTTTGTCTAAATAAATATCAAATTAATAGGATAATAATATTCTAAAATAAAATTAATAAAATACTTAATAAAAAAGGAAATAATAAAATTAAAGTAAAAATGAAGAATCATTAGACTAATTGATGAAAAAATAATCTTAATAATAGATTTCTAAGACTTAATTAAAATTTGTAGCTTGTCCCTCTTAACATTCTATACCTGGTTCAGTAAGCTTTTCTGATAAATAATTCCAAATTAAACCAGATTAAATGAGTGAAAATATTCAAGTAACTATTCTTGATGATTAATCAGATACCAAATAAAATATATAAGAAATTAAATTATAATTAGCAGCTCAAAAAGAGATACTTTCCTAATTGTATCACTCTATTTAAGAATCTAAGTAGATGAAAATTTCATAATTTGATTCTGATAAGAGAATAAGTGAATAAAGAACTGTAAAAAGAGGAATGGTGAGTGCTGTTGTTGATCCATGCAGTAGCCCAATTAAAAAGGTAATTATTACAAAAGGAGTATATCCTGCTTTTACTATAATAAAATCCTTATCCCCAATAAGACTTTGATTATTAATATATTATTATAAAGATAAAAATAAATATAAAATAATATCTTAATGAAAATATTAATGTTTTCATTATAAATTCTCATCAATTTTTTTAAATTGCCAAGGCCATCTCCAATTATATAAAAATTGTCTAAAATCAAAGCGATTATCATCTTATGAAAAGGCTTAGGCATGAAATGATGCAGTGATAGTAACTACTTTGTGCCTATTTAAAGCATAGTACTTAAAAAATTTCTTAACTTTTTCAGCTACTTATTATGGAGTCATATTTGACCAAAGATATCTCAATTTTTTGAACATACTAACTGGCCCTAATTTCTGAACTTTTCTTAATTTAGCAAAAGTTTCTAATTCATTGAAAGTTAATTCCATGTCATTTTCTGAAACATGACCTTCCGCTGATTAAGGTCTTAATTCAGGGGAGGGTTTAGCTTCTAAAATTAATTAGATTGCTGAAAAATTAAAGGTCTTGTAACAAAATAAAAGAAGTTCTCTTAAGTCATTTTTACTTAAACTACCTATTGGATTAATATCAGCACTTGAACAATCATATTTTGTTAAGAATCCTCTAATAGATTCATCTAAATTGCTTGATCCAAGTACAATTAAAAATCCTTTTTTTCCATTATTCCATGGAGTTAATTAAGCTAATAAATATGTAAGAATCATTCTTGATCTTGCTTATATATTTTATAAGGCTAGATCTTCTGATAGAGATCCACCATTTACAATAAATTAAGGGTCCTTTTTTAAAATAGGTTTTATGCAGGAAGTACATGCTTTACAAACTTAATCAATTTCTACTTCATAATGTTTACTGCCTATTTACTCAGCTAATAATCTTGATCTAGCCCTAGAATCCTAGGTTGAATTTTCAGACCCAAGATAAACAGTAAAAAATAATCTATTAACAATTTCTTATGGAGATTTAGGAGTAAAGGTATCATCTTCTACAGTTTTGCGTAGTTATTACAATACTTTAAGATGTGTTTAATGATCATTATCAACATTATTAATAGTTTTAAATATTTTATTAGCCATAAAAAATACAGATAATGCAGTGGCACTGCTATCTAAACCTCCTGATAATGGTAGCATAAACCCACAGGCTCCAGATCTTCTCATATAATCCCATAAATAACAGGCTATTGAATCTTCAATTTCTGATTCATATTAGATAGGAATGTCATGATAATAAACATAATTCTATTATTAGGTAAGATTAATGTCTAATTTGACTCTTGGGAAATGCTTTTATTTTGAAGCCATAAGTGATCTACTCTTTATATTGATTCTAATGTTCCTAACTTCTTGTAAATCTATATCACATGTTGTAACTTCAACATCTTTAAGTGAAAATGCATCACTTTTAGCAAATACTTTACCATTTAAAACAATACATGAACATCCATCAAAATACAATCTATTACCATCACATCCTCTAAGATTACAAAATGCATAACATGCACCATTTCTTTTTGTTATATCTTTGAATAATTCAGTTCTTTCTTTAATTTTACCAACTTCATAATGAGATCCACTTGAATTTAGAATTATTTCAGCTCCATCTAATGCTTAATTTGCACTTGTGGGAATGGGTGTCCACATTTCTTCACATATTTCTATACCAATTTCTGTATCATGAGTTTATAAAATAGCCACACCAATTGGAACGCATTTTTATCCAGTGGCTATTTAAATAATAGGAGGTAGTTCTAGATCCTCAATTTCTTTACTCCATGGAGTGAAATATCTAGATTCTCTATAATTTCCATCATCAGCCAAATACATTTTTGGTCTAACCAAGTGAATCTTTTTGTTTAACAAAATCACTCTACAATTATAAAACACACTTTTATGTATTACTGGCATTCCTATGTCACAAACTATATTAACTGTATGTGGAAGTATCTCTACTATTGCTTCCCTATAATAATTAATCAAAATCATACCAACAATGAGTAACTGTATCTGATTCCAAAAAATGATCTTCACACATGTACCCACATATCTCTAATTCAGGTCCTAATCGATATAAACATTGTTTTCTTTTGCAAATTTCTATACTTTCAATAATATTTTGAACATTTTAACTAAAGTCCATAGCCCATTAATTTAATGTACATACTCCTAATCTTGTTATTGACATATTATTAATTTTTATATGGAATTTGCTTTTTTATTTTTTAAATCCAACTTCTGGTGGAAATCGGGCAGGGGTGTATCTTTAATTAAATGCTAAACAATTAAATTTAATCTTAATAAATCAAGGTATATTTCAAAAGACTTCATCAAGAGTTTAAATTGAGATGAATATAAGAATTTTTATTTTTTCTATTTTTTTTATTGTCATTATTCCCTTTGGAACAGGAAATTATATTCCAATATTTTTAGGTTGGAATGGAGATAAAGATGATGATCTATGATCCTGTTTTAGAAATTTCAAGCAACTAATCTCCTGATGGTTTAATATGATTTATTCTATGAAAAATAACTGTAGAATCATAAGATGATATATTTAAAAGAATCAATAATAAAGAGATCTGTTTAAAAAAGAATTAGATCTTTTGCAAAAAATTAGATTAAAAAAATTTCAATTTATTTCTCTTATTGAATAGGTACGATTATTGAAATTGGGTTCAATATACAAGAACTTCATCTCCATGTTGTAATAAGTGTATTTACTTTGGTGAAGAACTGAAAAAAAATGTATTCCAACTATTAATCAAGCATATTCGGAAATGAAAGTTTTGAAAAAATAAAATATAAAAATAAAATAAATATCAGATTTTAGTAAAGATGTACTATTTAAAACTAAAGATATTAATTAAACAGAAGATCACTATAAATCCAATTTGCTAAGCAATTTATATATATATAAATAAATATTATGCTGTTTTAAAGAAGGTTTCCATGATAGATATGTTTAATAATAGGTTATTCATTTTTTCTGAATTATTCAAATAAAATGCAGTTTAATTAGCTTAGGAAGAAGGACCATTTTTAAACTTGTTTAAGAAATGCCTCTCTAAATTGATAGAGAATTTTGTTAAGCTAAAATTCCAAAACTTGCTTTATTTAAGTAATCTTCTATAAGTATTAAAATTTAAATGAAATAATAAATTTGATCATCATATTTAAAAATTATTTTTATTTTATAAAAATATAATTGATTTGAATCAAGTCTATTTACTTCTACCAATAAATTCATAATGAATAAATAAGTGTATTTGATATGCTTAAATAGATAAATCTAATTTATTAGATGATTAATCTAACTCAATACTGCTTAGTTTTTATTATATCTTCTCATATATAAGCTTTCAAGTTTTATTTATTTATAAAAACAATAGTTTAATTATAATTTCAAATTAATCCATTTATTTTAGGTCTATTAAATAAAATAATATAGTTATAAAATCTTTGGGTAATCATCTATTAAAGTGTAAAGATATCTAATAATTCAAGTTATAAAAAATGAAAAGTTTACTTTTATATTTAATTTCAAAAAGAGGGCCATCATGATTTGATAATAGGTTTCCTAACCATTTATCTTTTTTCAAAAGGATCAGCTCTAATTAATAAAGTTGCAATTAAGGAACAGCATTGTTTAAAAAATAGAAAATCCTATAATTAAATTAATTTTGAAATTATTGAAAATTATAAAGGGTAAATTTTCTAAACTATTAATTGCATGTTAGATTAATTTTAATAAGGTTATCCAATGTTATTATATTAAATTACTTGATTATCTATAAAAATGAAGAAATTCAAAATATGTATAAAAATAATAATTATTTTATTTCATTTCTTAGATGCCATTGTCATTAATCTATTAGGGTATCCTTATGGTTGTTACTAATTAAATTGTTGTTACTAATTAAATTGTTGTTATAAATTAAATTGTTGCTAGGGATTAAATTGTTGTAATGGAGTATATTGTTGTTATTGAGTAAATTGTTATTATTGTGTAAATTGTTATTATTGAGTAAATTGTTGCTATTGATTAAATTGTTGTTTTTGAATAAACTGTTATTATTGAGTAAATTGCTGTTATTGAGTAAATTGTTATTATTGAGTAAATTTTTGTTATTGATTTAATTATCCACCACCTTATTGAAAATTATTTTATTAGTTTAAATTATTTATAGTTTATGGAAATTAAAATTTAGTTTATTGTTGCTATTATGTAGGTTGGGCTTATGTTTAAACATTTGGTGCTTATGAACTTTGTTCGGGCAATTATTATCCTTTTGATATTGTAGAAAATCTATTAGGATTTTATGCTTATCCTTAATTACCTTATGGAAATTATGGTAGACCTTATTAGGGAAATTAATTTTATTAAAAATTTTTTTATTAGAATCCTGGATTTGGAAACAATTATTATTAAGTTTATTAATTAAGTCCATTTTATTATTTTTATACATTAATATTGAGAGGACCTTAAAATTAACCTTGTTGTTACTATGGATTTTAAAATAACTGATTTTATTATGATTATTATCTTTTTAATTATTATTATTGTAAATCGGATTAAAGACTAGATTATTTTTGTTTTTAATCAAAATAATTTAATAATTCTTACCACGTTAATCTTAGTTTTGGATCATAAACTATCATTTTATCTAATAACTCTAATATATCTTTATCAATTTCTTTATTTTTTATAACATCTTCATGTAATTAAAAGAATGTTATTTCTTTAAGTTTTTCAATTTTTTTATAATTGAATTATCTTTCTAATAATGCCAATTCAAATATGATTACTCCAAGCTATAAATAATATAAATAAATATACTGAAAAGATGTCACATAAATTATCATAATCATCAGGATTTTTTTCATTTAAAATCTCTGGAGCACTATAATACATAGTTCCAACCTTTTTAGTCATTTTTTTCTGGGATGAAGAATCCACAATTTTACTAAGACCAAAATCAGCAATCTAAATATTTATTACACATAAATACCTTGACTTGTATTTAGTTGTCAACGATATTGCATAATATATTTTCTGGTTTAAGATCTCGATGAATAATTTCTTGAGAGATCATTTAATTATAACCTTTAGCTATTTAATTTATGATATCAATTAATTCTTCTTTAGTAAATTTTTTTTCTTATCCACTCTTCTTTAAATTCATTAATTCCTTTAAGCTTTTATCACATCTTTCCATGAATATATACGCTTGAGTATCATTATAATCTTAATCATAAACATCATAAATTTAAACCAAATTATCAAATTTTTTATTTACCATTTTCTTACAAATATTGAATTCTTCCTCTTATACTGTTTAGAGAACATTTTAACCATAATCTTTTTTCTTTTACATTATTTTCACACAAACTCTCAATTAATCATTTTCTAATGATTTAGCTGTTTGTACACTACCAAATTGTCCTTATCCTAAAACCTTTTCTTCCACAATATATTTATCCTTCATCTTAATCTTTATTAATAGAATTATAAAATAAATAATAATGATTTTGATAATTTAATATTTTTTTGCATTTTTATAATTATTAATAGAATGTTTGAAAACTAATAGATAAATTCATTAAGCTTACAGAATTAAAACATATATAATTTTTGATAAATTTATGATGGTTATAACATGAAAATAATCATAATATGTTTATTAAATTTGAATACCTCAAGAGTATCTGATAATTATTTAAAAAATATTTATACTATTAGTTTAATAATCAAAATATAATAATCCTTAACATTAGAGTATCTAGCAATTAAATTTAGCATCAAAAGAAATTTAGATTATTAAACAAGCATAAATGATAATAGTTTATTTTTTGATCTATCATTTATATAAATAATTAAAAATCTATATTTATAATTATATCAAATCAAAGAATTTTATTTAAGTTTATTTGTATAAAAAGTTAAACACTAAAAATTTGAATCAATTAAATCTTTTAAGACTTTATTACATGAAACTATTCATAATTTATAAATAGAAAAATATTTATGAATTATCATAAAATCCTTTTTAGTGGCCATATATATTTTTATTTTTAAAAAAAATAGAATTTCAATTACTAAATAGATCAAAAGAAAATTTTAATTCTTACTTAAATTGTTGTAAAAATCCAGATATTTAGAAGGAAAATTATGAATAAAATGCAAGTATTTGGAATCATTTAGAACAATCAATTTTTTTGAATGAGATTATACAAGGAACTTAATGTTTTATCAGATGAACTCAAAATTTATACACTAATGAGTGGATAAGATTTTGCGTCAGTTGCCCAAATAAGTACTTTAATAAATACTTTATTGTTATTATTCTTAAAAATATACTTTTTCTCATAATTGTAAAAAGTATGAAGATAATTATGTTAATTATTCTGATTATTCTTTACTTTAATGATAATTTATTTAAATGTCTGAGTTGTTAGCTTTCAGTTAGATATTTTAAATTTATTATAATAGAAATTTGTCCTAATAAATATCCCCTTACATTTATTCATATAAATAGATATTAATCTTCTAATTTATAATATCATAATGATTAAATAATATTGATTTAAATTTATATAATTTTATAATATTATTCATAAAAAGCAAACTAAAAATGATCCTATTAAACTGAAAATCCCACTCATGAACATACTTACTGATATATCATCAACACTAGAAAACAATAAAAAACCTAATGGAATAATGAAAAACATAAATGCTTAAGAAAAAAAGGTTGTTAAATTAAGCATTTAAGGTAAGAGTCCTTTGATTGTATCTCTAACTTACTAATGAATATAATCCTTTAATATTTACATCATCCTCTAATTGGTTTGCTAATTTATAAGGTAATTCACTCAAGACAGCAGTTTGTACTCCCCAAAAAGGAAGAGTGATAAAAATAGAATAAAATTCATTAACTGACCAAGTATATAATAGTGATGCCCCAGCCAATGCATTCACAATCATATAAATTGTACTTGTGTAACGATTACCTAATTATTTTAAAAACAAAGTTGTCAATAGATGAAGTATAGCACTCATACACAATGCCAAAGCCCCTCTGTATAATATTTAAACAATACCCCAGCTTATTCCTATATCAAATACAATATTCCTTATTGCTTCATTGTATTATTGAGGACCTTCTTCTAACATTGTAATGCCTGACCATAAAGTTGCATAGACAGATACAAACAATTAAGAACCACAAGTGAAAAAATGGGATAATAAAAATATCTTCATATTTTAAGGTAATTAACTTAAATATATTATTAAGATATTTACAATAAAAATGTAATTCCAGGCAAAAATGAATTGATACTAAATCTCATTTTGTGATTTGATTATACTAAATCTAATCCTTTTCTTGGAAATGATATTAAAACCATTCCAAAACCAATCATTATCATTATCAATCCTACTAAATAGGCAAATGATAAATTTTCAATAAAATTATCAAAGTTTAAATAAATAAAATTGAATGCTAAGACACTTGATACTAGGAAACCTGTAAATTTACCAAATGAATCTACAAATGTTCTGTATTACTACACTTTTTACTATTATTTTGGATTTACATAATCTTCTAACAATGCCGAACAAGCAAACTATATATATAATTAAATACAAATACTCCCAGCATCTCTAAGCCAACATCCATAACTGTAAAGCTTATTATTGAAATGATAAGGACTGATGTTTTTTTATTAATTGAATCCACATATAATGATCTACATTTATTTAAAAATTTTACTTTGTATCTGCTAATAGTCCTATTCCCATTATGGAAACAATAATAAAATAAATCATTGCGTTTTTTAATTAATGTGATTTGCTTTCACTATAATATCGAATAAAAGGATAGAGTATTAAATTAATTACAGGAGGAAATAACCAACTGAATTATTATAGTAATTTATTACATTGAAGAGTCTAAAAGTTCTGGAGTGTCTAATTTCAAAAACAATGGAGAAATGAAAACCATCTCAATTGCAAACCCTCTCTATACGTGTATAAATACCATACTCAACTGCAAATGTTAATACTACTAATGCTAATATCTGTGATTATGTTAAATAATGTATTTTCTTATTTTTTAATTTGAATGCCTTTGTTGGCTTTGAATTGAATTTTCCATTGAATTTATAATTCTTAATTTCCGTTACTTCTTTTCTTTTACTCATCAAATACTCATTATAATGATCAATCGCTTCATCTTCATACATAATGAGTGAACTCATATATTATTTATAAAATAAAAACGATAAATAATAAATTTATATTTTCTATAAGAAAACTTATTCATTTTTATTCAAATTCTTAAGTGAATTCATTTCACAAACTCTTTGATTTTTCAATTAAAAATATATCAAAAATAAATTTAGAATTGTATGAATAATATACTATTTTTAGATCTTAATTTATGAAAATTATTCATTATGACCAAGAATACTTTTATATATAATTTAATCCTTAAAAATGTAATAATTTTACTACTTAAAACATCTTAAAATTAATTAAAAGTTTAATAATAATCAATACTTGAATTTTTGTCTATAAAAACCTCATAATATATTATCAGTATTACCAATTATTTCTCACTTATATTTATAAATTTCTTATAATTAGTAAATTATCCATTAGATATTAATCTGATTTGATATTCAAATTATTATAATTAAAATGATTATTTGTAAATAATTTAAAAGATATTTTTAATCTTCTATTAGATTGATTTAATGTAAATTCAATATTTATCATTCATTATGACTTTTATTAATTGATAATTATTTCAAGATCACCATAAGACTAAAATAACTTTAATAGTTTAAATTGATACAAAAGACACAATAAACAATTATTCCTTATCAAAAATAAAGTATTTAAAGTATGTTAGAATTCTTAATAAGATTAACTTTAAGCTCTAATTATAAAAAGTTTATATAACATATAAATAATAATTCCAAATCTTATATAAGGTTGTTCATTAAGTATCATTTTCAGGTTTCTCTGTATTATTAGAATATAGTGAGCATGAATATAATTTCACATTTCTTCCACTATCTTCAATTTTCAAAAAACTAGGCCGATTTCTTTATCGTTTAATTTTTCTAAGTAATAATTTTTTCTATTTTTAGTACTTTTTAAGTTAAAAGCATAATGAACTAATATAATGTTATCTATCTGGAGATTCATACTCATTTAATTCTACTTGAGGACATGAAATACTAGTTGGTTAATAATCATAGAGCTGCTGAGGTTCTTGATTTATTAAGGCTTCATTTATCATTTTATTAATTAATTTTAATAAATTATCCAGAAATTCTGAAAATTTGCATTTAAAGAATAAAATAATTTTTATATATAACATTTAATCATTTAATAGAGAGAATACATTTAATGAATATGATTAATAATGATTAATTTATATGATAATAATAATTTGTCTAATTTTATAGAAGAATATAGAGTATGGGTTGAGGGATGTTTGATTTTTAGTTTGATTTTTAGTTTAATTTTTAGTTTTGATTATTAGATTAATTTTTATATTCTTGGTAAAAAGTTAACTAAGTTTCATTTAAATATTTATTTATATAATATATTTATATATGAATTAAATAGTATAAGCTAAACCAAAATTTTATGCAGATTATAATAAGAATCAACCAAAAGAATACTGGGATTATGATAATTTTGAAAATGAATGGGGTGTAAGACTACAGTTAATGTTAGGATAATGATTAATATGAAATAATAAAAAAAATTGGAAGAGGAAAATATTCTGATGTTTATGAAGGAATTAGATATCCATAAAATTAAAGAGTAGTAATAAAAGTTTTGAAGCCAGTGAAGAAAAGAAAAATAAAAAGAGAGACAAAGATTTTGCTTTCATTAAAAGGACATCCAAACATTATAGAATTGAGTGATATAGTAAGAGACCCAGCTTCAAAAACACCTTGTTTAGTGTTTGATTATATTGATCATGTTGATTTTAGAAGCATCTTTCCAAAACTTACTGATATAGAAATTCGATTTTATCTATATGAATTAATGAAAGCATTGGATTTTTGTCATTCTAGAGGAATTATACATCGAGATGTTAAACCTTAGAATATAATAGTGAATCCTTAAAAAAAGTTATTGAAATTACTTGATTTTGGTTTAGCAGAATATTATCATATGGGTCAAGATTATAATGTTAGAGTTGCATCTCGATATTTTAAGGGTCCTGAATTATTAGTTGATAATGTTTTTTATGATTATTCTTTGGATATTTGGAGTAGTGGAGCAATGCTTGCATCAATGGTTATTTTTTAAATAAGATAAATTTTAGATTTTCAAGAAGGAGCCATTCTTTTAAGGAAATGATAATTATGATTAATTAATAGTAATAGCAAAAGTATTAGGAACTGAAGATTTATTAGCTTATGTTAAAAAGTATAGATTGAAATTGGATCCAGTATTTGATAATAAATTGGGAAAGTAAGAATTATTATAAAACTTTAGTTATCCAAAAAGAGAATGGTCTAAGTTTATCAATCAAGAAAATAAACATTTGTGTTCAGAAGAGGCAATTGATATATTATCCAAAATGTTATTATATGATCATGTAAAATCAATAATCATAATAGGCATTAAGAATTACACCTAAAGAAGCTTTAGATCATCCATATTTCTTACCAATAAGAGATTAGAAAAAATGAAATTGGCTTTGTAGTATTATATTAAATTACATTAAAACATATATTATATAAAGGATAATCAGAACTTATAATGATAAAAGTCTTTTTTGTTAATTTTAAACTAGAATAAAAATGAAATAGTAATTCTTACAATAACTTATTTAATGAGTGAGTTAAAAAAAGATAAAGAAAGATTAAATAAAATATTTCTTGGATATACTGACATGATTTATAGATTAGAAAACTTTAAGAAAAATTAAAAATATATATGATTAGGTGGGAAACTAAGGAATTTCTAAACTCAGTTTATACTTTTTAATAATATAAATAATTTTTATATCATTCATATAAGATTCAAAGTGTGAGATAATAGTTATTTTATTACATAAAATGATAGAAATTATTTATACAATAAAATTTCAATTATACTTTCCGATTTTCAGAGTACAATGGTATAGCTATTGTCGAATTATTTCTTAATTTAAGATAGTATTTTGGTGATAATAGTTTTATTCATCTCTATATACTTTTTTAATTTATCATTTGTTAATTAATAACATTATATATCTTAAATGGAAGTTTTATAATTCAAGGATTTCTACTAGTCTTTTTGAATAACTCCTTAGGTCATTATTATCTATAAATAAACATATAATTCTATATAAAAGTATTGTTTATGTAAATTGGCAATGAATCCTGATTATATTAAAATATTATATTTAATCAATAATATATGATTGTTTGGAGATTCAAACCATAAATAGTAAAATATTAATGTCTGGATTAAGTGTGAGAAATCAAAATAATTTTATAAGATAAGTATAACTTATTATGAATCAAATGAAAACGATAATATATTTTTTATTAAAAATGGCAGATCAATTGAATGCATCTTTTATTAAATAGTCTGAGGATATTATTTAATAAAAGAAAGAGGAAATACTTTAGTTCTTTGAACAGAAAGGCTACAAAGCAGATTCTGCATTTGACGATTAACTTTGGTTTTTTCCAGAAATCAATTAAGACTAAGAACATATCCTATGGAAGGTGATAAGCGATACAATTGGACAAGATTAAGTTTATGATGAGAATGTAGGGTTTTTCATTTAATTAGTTTGCATCAGAAGCAACTATTGATACTTTTGTATAGAAACTATTGGATTAAGCAAAAATGATACATTTGAAAATACTTGATTTCCAAAAAAACATTGATTATTTCAAAGATGAACTTACCAATTTTGATAAGTTTTCAAAAGTCATTGAAGCAAGTATTACAAAATAAATAAATCATCTTAGATAAATCAGAATATAATCAAGAAAATGCCTTAGTCATCTCTTTTGTAGATCAAGTCAATTAAATAAGTGAAATGTAAAAAGTATTAATAACCAAAATCTATTTCTTAGTTTTATAAACTGAAATACAAAGTTGGAACAATTCACTAAAATTATCAACCACTGTATCCAGAGAATTCAAATCGATCTACATGCATTTCATTAGATAATACTATAGATTCTATAACACTAGTTGTGATGGGAAAAAGATTAGATAAAAATTTAGGAGATGCAAGAACTTTGGGAGAAGATTTTAAAGAATTAGCATAAATAAAAATACCTATTCTTGATATTTATTAATAAATTAGACCAAGACATTTTGCTCTTCCTACTATACCTTAATGTTACTTGATTGTAAATTACTAGGATTAAAGTTTGGATGCTCCTTATATAGATAATGTCACAGTAAATCTAAGATTTGATGTAAGACTCTCATATGAAGATAGAATTAATATTATAAAATAATAAAAAGAATTTAAGAGTGGATTGATTGAAGTAATTTATTAATCTTAATAATAAATAGAAATTCTAAGAAAAACTCCAATAAAGATTAGCTTAGATGGAGTAATTACTGTGTCCATTTAAAATGAATCCTAAATTATAATATGTAACTGCTAAAGGAATAGGATAAAAATAAGATTTCAAAGATGAACCTATTAAACCTAAAAGTGATAGAAACAAAGAAGACATTAAGCCACCTAAGGAAAGGGAAACATGTTGCATAATATAATGAATAAAAAATATAATATCTTCATCGAAATAACAATAATTTACCTTAACTTCAATTAAAAAATAGAGCAAATCCTACATTACAATTATTTATAGTCAAAATTAAATTCATCTCAGAAACATTATTAATAATAAACTAGTAAATCTTCATCAGCTTAAGGTGCATGCCAACCTTCTAAATTTTATGACCACGGATTCACTTCTATTTTTTTTGGTTATTATACATTCCCTTAACTGACTCTTCTCTAACTAAATTAATAAGATTGTAATTTTTTTATTATTTAAGGAGAATTAGGCTCACTTCGTAATTTTATAGATGATTAACATTATGGTATCTTTTAAATATCATCTATTCTATCTTCTATTGTTAAAGTTTATTTTTCTTTTAATTTAAATGTTGGAATTTTATTAATTTACGTTGATAAAATTGATTATTAGAGTTATCTTTCTTGTAGCGTAATTTAGATTTCAGAGAATTTAACTTTTGAATTAGACTTTTTTTCACAATATTTAATAGGTTTAGCCTATTTATCATTTGGTTTCTCAACTGCTTAGACTGGGACTATGTCTTTAAGTTATAATTTATCATTTTCTTATAATAATTTCTATTTTATATATTTGGCATTTAAAATTTCTTTTCTTAGTTATAGTATCTTCTTTTCTATTGTTATTTTTGTATATCCATTTTCTTAATTTTATCGAGATACTGGAAATGATTATTTAGATGGAGATAATTAAGATGGTTTTAAGATAGTAGGAATAGGAGGTTCTCTAAAAGTAGGGATGTTATAATGATGATGATCTGAATTTTTTTATTCTAAATGGAATAAATGCAAGGCTTTGACAGTTCTTGAAGTTTTAGAAGAGTTCATTATTTATATATTATATCACAAATTAAATTCTGAGAGCTTCTATAATAATGTGGGGTCTAACTTGTTATGTTGTGCTTAATGATCATTTTATATAGGTTCATCTATTTATGTTAGAGAGTGATGGCTTCCACATACTTTGATACCAAAAATATCATCTTCATCATCTAGTTTAATTGAATTGTTCATTTTATCATCTACTAAGGCTCCAACTAATTAAATAGCATTATTCTAATTAGAATTATTCCTCTTATAAATTTTTGTTGAGGTTTCTAATTTAAATTACTTTAATTTAGCTTTAAAATCTTATATTTCTTTTTCTCTTTTGATTTTAATAGAGAAACCAAGGCTTTTTTAAGATCGACTGATATCTTAGTTTTCCATTACAGAATCAATTTGTTTACTTTTGATTAGAGTGTTTTATAACTCAAAATTCAAAATGGTAGCACTATTAATTAATGATTTATTAAGAAGATCACTATTTTAACTTATTTTACTTGTATCCATATCATCTTTTGTAATTTTTTTGGTAAGTACTTTTCTAGGAGTTAACATATTAGGTATCCATATGTGTTTAAGAGCCTCTGAGGCAGTTAATCTTTTCAAGGGATTCCACATCATTAATCTTTTGATTAAGTCTCTACAACTAGATGACAAGGATAAAAATTAAGGTTTTTGGAATGCCTCATTTATTGATTGCCTATATTAATATTAAAAAAGAATAAAATACGTATTGGATAATAAAGCAACAATGTCTGCAGTATTATCTGAAGTAAATGGTAAGACACCAGTTAATGATTAATACATGATAACTCCAATAGCCCATATATCAACTTACTAATTATAACCATAGATATGGCTACCCATAATTTCTGGAGCTCGATAATGAAGATTACCAGTAACTGTTAACATTTGATTTCTCATATATCTAAATGTACTATTATTAAAAGTAACAAATCTTCTAGATACTCCAAAGTCTATTAATTTAACTGTGTAATCGCTATAAATAACAACTATTATACTTCAGATTTACTAGAATATTATCTGGTTTAATATCTCTATGACAAATACCACAACTATGTAAACATCTAACACTTTTCAATAGATAACATGCAATTTTTTAAACTTCTTGTTCTTTTAATTTTATTCTTTATTATAATATTGATTGTAAATTAGGAAATGGAACATACTCCATTACCATATATATTACATTAATGTCAATATATAATTTATAGCATTTTGCAATATAAGGACTTTTAATGATTGTAGAATTGATAAATGTTTATCTCACAATATCTAATTATTCTTCATCTGGAGTCTGTATAATTTTAACAGCAAATAATAATGAAGGATTATCTTTCTTCCAACAAATTCTAACTATACCATTTGTACCTTCTCCTAATTTCTTACCAAGTGTAAATTCATCTTCAAAATTTGTAGATTTAACCCCTATTTATTTAAAATCTTCATCTTCCATTTCATCATCACTGAATGATATTGATTAAGCTTATTAACCAATTAAAGGAGTCTAAGTTTTTCTAATAGGTTCATCTTCATTTATAGGAGATATAGTTCGAGCTGAGACCAGAAATCCTCTCATTTTCTCCATTTATTTATGAAATTTGGTCTGCATCCCTAAACTTTAGATCATTAATAATAATTTTATATGGATTCCATTTTGGGAAAAGACCTTACTAATAATACTATTGCACGTTAATATAAGTTAATCAAGAAAATTGGATCAGGAGCATTTGGAGAAATATATTTGGTCTAATCTTAATCTAAATCTGAATATGCCATGAAACTGGAAAGAAGTGATAACAAACATCCTTAAATATTCTTTGAAGCTAAATTATACAATTATCTTTAAGGATAGGATTAGTATGATAAAGGTAAGTTTATTATGTAATTCTAAGGAAGGCATTCCAAAAATTCATGATTAAGGAGTAGACGGTGATTATAATTACATCGTCATGGATCTCTTAGGACCTTCCCTTGAAGAATTATTTAATAAAAATCATAGGAAACTATCACTTAAATCAGTTCTAATGTTAGCAGATTAGTTAATTTAAAGAATTGAATACATTCATTCAAAATAATTTATACATCGTGATATTAAACCTGATAATTTCTTGGTTGGAGTTGGCAGTAAAAGTTCAAGAGTTTATATTGTTGATTTTGGTTTGGCAAAAAGATATATAACTAAAGAAGGACATATCCCTTATAAAGAAGGGAAAAGTTTAACTGGAACTGCCAGATATGCTTCTATTAATACACATGTTGGTTTAGAATAATCTAGAAGAGATGATTTAGAATCACTTGGATATGTCTTAATGTATTTATTAAGAGGATAATTACCATGGTAAAATATGAAAGCATCAAATTAAAAAGAGAAATATTAAAAAATAATGGAGAAAAAGCAAGAAACAACTCCTGAATAATTATGTAAGGGATTTCCTAATGAAATGACTCAATATTTATAATATTGTAGAAATTTGAAATTTGAAGATAAACCAGATTATAATTATATAAGAAATCTATTTAGAGTATTTTTATGTATGATTATTTTTAGGAAGCCTTTAGAAAACAAGGTTATGAATGGGATTATAAATTTGAATGGATTAAAGATGAAATTATAAAAGAAGAGAAATTTATAGGAGTAGCAATTCCTTAAAAAACAACAGATATACCAACAACAACAAAACAAAGCAATTTTTAAACAATGAGAGCTCCTTAGCTTATGCAATATTAATCTAGATAATCATAATAAGCATCTTAGGAGAAAAAACGTAATTCATCATATACTAAGAATAATAATTAAAATAAATAAATGACTGGACTTCTTGCACCTAAAATTAATATCAATAAAGAAAGAACTAGAAAATATTGAATTTATATATTAATATATATCTATAAATCTAATTTTTCAATCTTTTAATTTATTTACATGTAAGTAGAGTTAACTATTTCTATAATATAATAATATGATCATTTTAGTAAAAGATAACAAAATTAGTATTATAAATACAATATAAATATAATCCTCTTTTTCTAATGATGATTTATGTTTTTAGTAGTTGTATGCCAACATTTTTAGAGATATTATGACTTAAGGAAATATAACTATATTAAATTTGCCTATAACTTTAGCTTAAGCAAGTGGTATCTATAGAAATTTAAAATCTATACATTTTATAATACTAGACATAAATCTTTCTGATCAATTAATTAGAATTCTTTAATTTTATCTTATTAAATTGATACTGCATACATAAAATTAGACAAACTTTTTGTTTATTCATTTAATACATTTATTGATACACTGTTTAAATGAAAAATTGAAATATATTTGAATGAATCGACTATGTAAATTTGACTACATTATACCTAGCAATTCAATGAAAAAATAAAATCCAATTTTATAATAAAAGTCTACTGGAGTAAATTTTATACTCATTGAAATCAATATTATATAAAGTGCTTTTTGAAAATATTCTCTTCCATCATTAATTGCTGTTTATATATATGATTTTTCATCCTACTTTTTAAATACTGACCCCTTTAGTTTAATTAAACTTAAGACAAACAAAGCTAAATACAAAAGTTACACCTTCTAACTAAATATTACATTATAAACTGTCAACTATAATCCTAATAAACATGCATGAGCAAAGATATAAATATATGAATAGATCTAATATCTATTGAAAACAGTTTAATTCTTATACACATTCTACCAATATAATTATCTTATGATATAATCTCCTTAAGTACAAGCTAATCTATCAAGTAAATCTAAGATCTAAATAATTCCATATAACTTAATTTAAGATTAACTTCTAATTATATGATACCAATATCCAACTTCAAAATAGTTGAATGTAAAAAGCCAAGTTATTAACCAAATCATTATAGTTTAGATTAAATCCAATCTGAATTAAATTGAAATCAAGTTTTTTGACAAAATAGACAAAATTATTCTAATTGGTGAAATTATTACTGCATCAAACATAGAATCCAACATTAGAATTCCAACCTTTATGAAAAATAGATAAACAGGTAAAGGAGTAGTATAATGTATTAAACCTGCTTCAGGTATGTGAATATTTTTGTTTTAATTTTCCAAAATATTCTG